CAAGTCAAGAGGTGAAAGAGCCTGAAAACAAGCTGATATCAGTGAAGGACCGGCAGTCGCATGACAACGAAGGCTTACAGCCACCATCATTGAATGGCACTCATGAAGCTGAAACGATAACACCATCAGAAGACAGTTTGCAAGTAAATAAAGACAAACAAGATTTGCCGAGTCCCTTGCAGCTTCCATTACCCAACAGCGCAGCGGATGGAAACCCATCATCCACATCTGCAGCTGGCCGTGGTGACGAGAAAAGTCACGAAAACGGCAATGGCACGAGGAATTCTCAGCAGTCTGTCGCAGAAGACATTGAACAGAACAAAGACGCCGGCGAAAAAGTTGTCGCACCAACGGGTGGAGAGGAAGATTCACGATTGCCGGTTATGACGGTTGAAGAAATGCGTGGTGCAACAACGAAGGGCAACAGCGGCAGCAGCACCACGGCAGCTACGGCCATGCAGTTTGACACTGGCACAGAAGGCACTCCAACCAACAATCATCCGAACCGACCCTCCACTGACAGCGACACACCACCCGGAAGTATTTCCGATGGTGAAGCTGCATCAGCCAACAAATACGATACGGTCTCTCAGAGTGCGGGATCCACAACAGCGCCCACCACAAACGCTAAAACAGGTGAAACGGCTATGCCTGGCAGCAGTGACAGCGGCACCGCGGTGTCCCACACCACCTCCCCTCTTTTGCTTCTTCTTGTTGCGTGTGCGGCTGCGGCTGCGGTGGTGGCTGCGTGAGAGTGAGGGAGAGAGAGCCGTGCACCGCCCGCACACACACTCGTCCTTCTCTCTCTCTGTGTGTGTCCCCTTGCATGGACTCTCGCCCTCACCTCATCCCACGAAGAACACACATAATGTGCCCATTGTATATATGCATGCACACCCATGCAGGCCCGTTGGTGCTCTCTTTTGCAGCACACGCACCGTTGTCGTCCTGCCTGGCTGCATGGGTGGAGCACCGTAACTGTTTTTTTGTTTCCGTTGCATTGAGTGGGCGACCCTTCTCTCTCTCTCCCTGTGTGTGTGTTTTGCTTTACGGGAGCAATGAGAGTGTGTGCGCTGGTCGTCCCACCTGTTGCTGCGCGTCCCCACTGCTGGGTGGACGCCCCCACGCTTCGGCTTTTTTTGTTGGTATTTTTTATCCTCAGCCTGTGTTGTGGTTGAGTGCACCCATCCTACTTTTTTTGATTGCTGGTTTGCCTTGACTGCGGACGCCTGATTCCTCCTTGTGTGTTCCCACATTGTTTTGTTTCTCCTTCTAAAAGTGTCAGCCACTCGTATCCTTGTAAAGCCACCACGTCCTTCTCTTTTCCACATACGCCATGCGTCAGTTGATCCACGGCACCCCACGGTCTGCAGCGCTGCTGAAGCTGCTTGTGATGATGCCTGCGACGTGAATTGCCAGCGAGTGCTTTGCTGCCACCCTGACGTATCCTTTGCTTCCTTGACGATGTAGGGCGTACCGACGGCGCGTGGGCGTCTGTGGCGCTGGTGGGGCACGTGCGTCTCAAACCGTATGATGCGTCGCAGGTGTGCAGCGTCGTTTCGAAGCACCAATGGGCGTTTCTACTCATCATGGCGTCCACAACGGACCCGGATGGCAGCAGGTGGCACTGCGATTCCTCCTGGTCTTGCACAGCGACTTCGTTGGACGGCGCGCCTGATTTGCAGCACTTGGGGCTTTTGTGGGAGAAGGTGGGAGGCTGAGGGCATGAGGACTGAATTGTTTTGAGTGGCAGCGTTCCGTTGACTTGCGGCCAGTCGTTGCACTCTTTTGGGGTTTGGCGGCCCGTCTCTTTTGTTTACTTCCCACCGCAGCACGTGGACAACACTGGTCCGAGGAACACTTGTTTAGACGGGTGTGAGCTGCTGCCGTGCGTGGTGCATGGACTATTTGATTGTGTGGGGAGGTGCATGGAGTGACGAATACTTCTGTTTGGCGTGTCGCGGTGTGTTGGAATGATGTTTGGATGACATGTGAGGGGTGTTGTTTGTAGTTTGTGTGTCTTCTCTGGTGGAGCCGACATGTGTGCGGGGATTGTGGCATTGCTGGCTGACGGTTCCACGTCACTTTTCAGCATTCCTGGATGTGCTGAGGAATGACGGCTGACGACCAGCGTGTTGGCACTGCCGGTGGGAATAAGTACACGAGGAATTGGCCATTTTCTCTTTCCCATGCTGGAACCGATGAACTGGCACGAGGGCACCGGCTGCAGGCTGCCTGCCAGCACGTGTGAGCAGCGGATCCATGCACACACAGACGCTCATCGCAAGAGCTTGTGCGATCACAGTGGCTTTTGTGGCGTGCTTTTGTGGGC